TCAGTTCGGGGAATAACTACAGGTGGTAGCTCCTTACTTAGAGCTCTGCCCTTCCAGAGACGAGCAAACTTGTGACCAGGGGTGACATGTTAGTTTCCACCTTCTCAGTCATGGCTGCAGCCAAGCCAAAATCCTCTTTGGAGGAAACCCAAGAGATTGACTTTCCCTCCTCAGCCGTGGCCAGGCAGCGACTGAGGTCGTTAATGGCGCTCCCAGCGATGGGTGAAGCCTGCAGGCTCGCCGCTCCTCCTGCTTTAGTGCAGCAATTTCTGAGGGGATGGGCTCATAAATAAAGAGCAAAAGGTCTGGCACTGACCCTAAGAAAACTGAGCAGCTTTAAGCTTGCAAATACCTGATCTCTTGCATTCCAGCTTTATAAAAGGAGTGTTTGTTCTCCTGCCTCTCAGTAGCTGGCTCCTGCTTGAGTAAGGACTTGATGCTGGTTTTCAGAAAGGGAACCGTTAAATATTTCAGTAATGAATTGTCTTACCTTAATGTTGGGAAATAGCGACTTCTTTTGCTTTAGAGTTTAAATTAGTTTTGGAATAGAAAAAAAAAAAACAGGATGTGGAAGGAGATGGTATGTAATTTTATTTTTCAGTCAGATTGCCAAGTCCACTTGCAACCCCAGATAATTCCACCAAACATGGAAGAGTATATGAACAGCCTCCTAACAGCAGTGCTCCCTTCTGTGCTGAACAAATTTCGCATTTATCTAAGTTTATTGAGACTGCTGGACTACAGTATATCTGATGAAGTGACCAAGGTATGGAAGACTTCACTGTATGTTTTCAACGGTATATTTGGGTAGAAAGCACTTGAATAGAAAGCGACTGTACTTTACCATTGCTCTCTCTGGCAGTGATTCTTCTCACAATTTTCTAAAACCTAAACAGACGCATTTTGTTGTCCTGAGCATGTGTTTCTGCTCTTTGAGTATTCCAGTATACGCTTTGCTTGCTTTCCAAAACTCATTCTTTTCAAAGCTGAGGTTTAGCTCAATTTTACCCAGGCTTGCTTCCTGACAGCAACAAGTTGAAATGTTTCTCATGTAATCTAAGGGCAGTTACAGTGTTTGGCTCCTTTAAAAGCTTCTCTTGTTGTGAAGACTCTTCTCTTGCCCCTTAATTACACGCTGTGTTGTTTGCAGGCAGTAGAAGAAGACTTTGTGGAAATGCGCAAGAACGACCCTGAGAGTGTAACGGCTGACGACCTGCACAGAACTCTGCTTGTGGCACGGTGGGTAGTGATGTGTGACCTCACTGAAGACTTTGGGGCAAGCTGGGAACCACCTGAAGGGAGGTTGCAGTCAGCTGGGGGTTGTGCTCTTCTGGGCCTGAAACTGCGTCAGGGGAGGTTTAGGTTGGATCTCAGGCAGCCCTTCCTCACGGAGAGGGTGCTCAGGCACTGGGATGCACTGCCCAGGGAAGTGGTGGAGTCACTAGCCCTGGGGGAGTTTAAGGAGAGGCGTGATGTGGCACTTAGTGCCCTGGTCTGGCCAGTGTGGTGGTGTTGGGCCAAAGCCTGGACTTGATGATCTCAGAGGGCTTTTCCAGCCTCAGTGATTCTGTGAAGCCCGTGGTCGCAGCCTGCAGTTTGGCTGTAGTTGTGTGAGGCTGCCTCAGCGACCTGCACCTGGAGTCTTCTCTTCCTCTTGCCACAGATTCTTAGTTTGGCAAAGTGCTTCTTCCTCCCTTTCTAACTCATAGACTACTGGAAGAAAGCTGGTTTTGTGCTGTATTCGCTTATCTAACCCGGCATATGAACGAGCTCTTCTTTAATTGCGGTTTCTGCCCATCCAGGTTCCTGTCGCTCAGCGCGGGGCAGACAACGCTGTCGAGGGAGAGGTGGCTGAGAGCAAAGCAACTGGAGGCGTTACGTAAAGCCAGACTGCAGCAGCAAAAATGTGTTAATGGGAACGAACTTTAATATTTCATGGATGTTGCTATGAAAATTTGTCTAATCCTAGATGGAGCCCATACTAAGATTGGAATATTGTTTATATCAGTTTTTGTAGATAATTTATACCAAAAAAAGTTATGGATATTTACCCTTGCAGCCTGAACACCCTTAACTCTGTGTTCAGCCAGTTAAACATATTTTATGAAATTTTTTTGGAGCCTGTTTTGTAATTGAAAAATTGGTAACAATGAGCAAATTGTTTGATATTAAACTTTAATACTGAAGTTGTGTAAACTTATTTCCTTTAAGAAAAATTAAGCCAGAACCGTTCATATGCAGCAGTGGTAAGCTCTTTTGTGGAATAAGTTTGTGCTATAATTCTTGACTGGCTGAATTCTGAAGACGGGACCTTTTGTCTCACCAACAGATGAAAGACACGTTGGCTTTGGTCTCCAAGACCTCTTCTCGTGTTCTGTGAGCTGAGGCATGTTGCACTCATAGCAGCAGTGATTATGTTGTGCCCTAAAGAAGTGAAATGCAGCTTTATTGTGCTTAGAGAAGACTCTGATTAACTTCTCAAATCTCTAATGAGCTTTAATTCTGGCACAACTTTCTTTTAAAAAAAAAAAATACAACCAGGGACTGGAGAATTGGTGACAGTCATGTACTCACACAGAACATCTTACTTTCTACCTTGCCAGTAATGCAGTGCGTTTAAGTTGTTTGAATAATCCTAATTAAGCAGTAAGAACAGTCTCCACATATCTTAATCATACTGTATAGCTTGAGCTGTTTTTCAGAGGACATAATGGCCCTCACGTGACTTGCAGAACTAGTTTAACACGGGTGGTTTAAGTAGTGAGAAAGTAAACCAACATGGAGTTCGGGTAATCCAGAACGATGCCGTAGTATCAAGTAGGGCTGACCTTGTGGAGAGAGCCTCTGAGAGCCAGCCATGGAGCTAATTCTGATTTTTTTGCTACAATTAATCATTTTCTGAACAAGAATAAAAGGCTCCTGCCAAATTTACATTAAGCCAATAACACTTCACTTAGTGCTTTCTCATGATTGAGATTGTGTGAATAGGAACCTCCACTGTGATTGTATTTTTCCTGTTCTACCCGTGACTTTGGTTTTTGCTGCACAGCCAATCTGAAGCTGTCCTTCCCCTCTCAGCACAATAATGATGAGTATGTTATGATAAACAAGGTTTGTGTATCTTAAACTTGAGCCAAGCTCAACACCCTTTCAAATCACTTTCATCGGACTTGTGCTACATTAGTATGAAGTTAAAAGGAAGGAAATGAAGTTTCTCTGACAGGGAAGGAGGCTGGAAAGCAGAGTTGGCTCGTAAGACTGTCTTTCAGCTGCTGAGAGGATGGTTCTATGCATGTTGCCACAGATTATTTGAGACCAAGAGTTCAGTATGTCCATTATTTCCTATGTCTTGGACAAGTCATAAACTGGAAGGACATGATACCTTTGGATGACCACGGAGAAGGAAATAAACCAATGCAGCAGCTTGGGAATCAGTTGCCAGGAAGACACACCCCAGCCCGATGACTAAGTCACATTGATCTATTTTTTTAACATAAGAGTGACTTTATAGCTATTAGTACTCTTGCCCTTTTAGACTGTAGAAGTCACTGTCTAAGTATTTGTAGAGGTCAGTTTCCCTTTCTCCTATCAAAATAACAGTGAAGTATTTGGAATTTCCTCTCCCTCCTCCAGTTTTCAAGGAGTCTCCTCATAAACATGTCTATGACTTTTTATTTTTACCTCCCCCAAGGCCGGGAAGTAGCAGTGCTTGAAGAAAAGGATAAAAGACTGAAGTCATGTGTGTCCCATGACTGACAGGGGATCACATTAGTGTCTTCTCTGAAGCCTGAGAAGAGCAAGACAAACCACCTATCGTTTCAGTTTCAAAGCCCCACAGCCCCAGAGTACCACGTCCCTTAACATCATGTGCCAAAAGCCATCCTTCAATTCCACTTTTTTTTATTAAAATATCTCATGTATATTGCTCACATTAAAATACAGCAGTAGTTTAATTTTAAATATAGACACAAGTATAGACACTCTGGAAACCCAAACCCACATCACTTCAATGAAACAAATAAATAAATCAAATTTGTTTTATCAAAGTTTCAGACCATTGGGGTTAGATGATAACCATTTCAGAGACACTAGAAACCCTAGACACTACTACCCTACCCCTATGACACTGTTTGCTTGGAACACCACGTGCAGCCTAATCTACAGTACATGGACCAGAACACGGAGGCACTGGGTCTGGAGCGGTGGTCAGAGTTACAAACCACAGCACAGGAAGATCCTGCATTACTGCAGCTTCTGGGTAACGCCCTATACTAGAAATGGCATGGCAAGGCAGTTCTGGGAAAGAGGAATTTTAGATAGATTTGAATCTTTTGACACACACAGATAAGGGGTTTGGGTTTTATGCAACGTCCGGCATGAGTAGATGCTTCTTGGCCTTACCCTGCAAGTATGCAAAGCTGCAGCTGGTCATGAATTTGGTTTTGATTAGATGCTGACGGCTATGCTCAATGCAACACTGCTTTTATGAAACAGTACACTTGCCTTCTGGTTTAGAAGGTATTTGCATCCGGACAGTTAGAATATAGTTTATAACAATCACAGCACAGAGAGGGACACCATGCCTGAAGGTCAGGTACCTGGCTTGTCTCACTTTACACAGGGACAAAAAAAAAATTAGAGCAAATTGCCGGTGTTTGAATTGGCGCGGGGGGGGAAGTATAGCTTTAGGATGGGCAAAACAATTAAGAGGACATTTAATCCATTTCCCCTTACCTCAAAACAAGTGAGGAAAAAAAAAGAAAATACTCTACAAACTAAATTTGCACTGCAGGATTGTGGATATTTCACATAGGATCTACACGCTTTATCATTACTGGAAGTGTCCCAGGATGTGTGGAAAGGACAGCAAAAAGAAACCTTAATGTAACTAAATTCAACAAAAACACATCTGTTCCCATTGTAGAGGCACAATTCATAGAAAGCTGCATCTAAAACTTCAATGGAAACAAGTAAAAATACTAGTCCAAAAATAAATAAAATGTAATTTACCGGTACGTTATCTTGCTGGTGCAGTGCAAAGTAAGTAAGGTCATAGAAGTGCAGTATCACCTTTTTTTAGTATAAATACTTTCTACATAAGTCAGAAGAGCTACAAAATTAGTCTCCAAAAAAAAATAACTGTGCAACACATTTAAGATAGACAGCGTGCCTATTAAATCCCAGTGTCTAAGCTACCTGTTTAGATACGGGTCACCGTTCCTTTGTCTCAGCTGCCTGAGGGAATTCTGAAGTTTGGTCAGAACCAAATTCATTTGCATCTCTCATTTCCTGTAAACAAGTTACCTGTATCACTGATCCCAGTGTTCAGTAGCAGTTCGTGCCACAATGAGTCCTGTCTTTTCAGTTTTTGTATTAAAAGCCACAACTAGAAGAACACTTCTTAAATTAGCAACTAGATTTGAATTATTCGCGTCTGGCATTGCGTAAACATTTCCTTCAGTTCTTTTTGTTTGATTTCATTCATAGCTTCTGGTTCTGCAGGGCTCTTCTGGACCTTTGCCACAGCAAAATTGATCCCTTGGGTCAACCCTGCTTGTGTGATGTTCGCAACCTGGACCATGGAACTGCGAATTTTAGCGAAAGGAGATACGGCTCTGCTGCTGCTGCTGTCAGCTGGAGAAGGAGTCATGTGGAGTCCTGTTTCAAGGTTACCTGATACAGACCCTGGGCTTTTATGAGATTTAGTGAAGTCTGTCCCACCAACAGCTAAGAGCTGAGGATTTGGCTCGGAAGACTGTACGTCCAACTTAGATGGCCTGGAAGGAACATCTCTGGTAGCTTCAGCCTTGGCTGCTGCCTTCTTAGATGTATTATTGCTGGTTTGATTTATGACATGATGAGGTTCTTGAGAACCAGCCTCAGGCTCCAAAACACCCGACATCTTGCTTTGAGCATCATGCACGAACCTCTGGCAGTACACATCGATAGGTTTAGCAAATTCCACCTCCACGTTGTCAGGAGGAGGCGAGGGTACATCTTCACAGTCAGACCGGCCATGCTGGGGCACAGGGATGTCGGACGGGACAGGAATGCTGATGTTCATGTCTGCGCTGCTCACAGACTGGGAGCGACTGCCCAGCCGCGGGGCCGAGGCGATGATACCGCAGCTCGGCAGCACGTAGTCCGCCTGCCCGATGTTTTCCAGGGAGTCAGTCAGCTGGTTGTCTTCATCGGACTTAGAATTAGTCAGGAAGTCATCGGAGTGGAACGAATCATTATCCGACGCTTCCGTATCAGATTCGGCGTGGACTTTAGGATCTACCGCCGGATTCTCTAAAGTTTCGAGGCTACTGTCGGATTTCCAAAGATTCACTTTCAAATTCGGTTTTAAAAAATTGACTTTCACTTCAGGTTTGGTGAAGCTGCCTAACTTGCGAAGATTGCTAATGTTCACATTGGATTTGGTTTGTTTCACTTTTTGATTGAGAGACGAGAACTTGCTCAGTAAATAATTCTTGCCCTGGGCCAGGGACCCTCTGTTCTGAGACCGAATGCCGATGATGTCTTCATGAGGTTTACTGCTCTTCCTGGAAGAAAAAGAAAATCTCTAATGTGCAATCAACATTTATAAACACCAAGTATTTATTGTCTTCCAAGTCTATTTCCATGTTGGAAGACAGACATTTCAGTTACTAAGTTACCCTTTCCTTACGTAATTGTGCCCATATAAGCTAATTAAATTCAAAACAACAACAGCAAATGAGGATCAATACAGAATGGCAGCCAAACAAGGAAACAAGCAAGCTTCTGCAGGCAGTTTTAGTTGAAATTCTCCATATTTGTGACCCTGACTGTGTATGCTGTACTCAGATTTAGCAAATATTCAGTCTTCTACACCTGGTAAAAGAAAATATTTTCATGCTATACTTTCTACTCAGCTAGGAGAAAAAAAAAAAGCTGAAATAGTAGCCCAATAATCAGATGTGGAAGAATATTATTGAAATGTCCTAATAGGTTTCATTTGGCAATTTACAGTTGTGCTACACAACATATTTTCTAGCTCATACAGTCCAAACTGGAAGAGTCCAAAATAATGCAACAGATCACACCTAAACTGGTACAAATTGCCAAGCTTCAGCTAGCCATCCCCTCTCACTCCTACTCCATTGTCCTTTGTAAATTATTTCCTCACTGTTAGCACTTCATCCATATTTGTAGATTAAGGTTACTTCTGGTTAATTGTGGCAATTGACTTTGACTATTTAAAAAACTTTAGCAAGCACTTTTCATTATCAGCTACACTGTCACATGCCCTCTTCTCTTAATGGGCTTCTAAATCAAAAACTTCTGTGCCATTCTGACATGCTTAGGAGTTCCGAGGTTTAAACTTCTGCCATTTCTTCACACAAGACCTGTCGTGTTATCTGGATTTGTTAAACACTCAGCTGCAGTGGATGCCAACGAAGATTTACACTTCACAGGTTGTGAAGCACACATTAAAATCAGATCACAAAAGTTAAATCTGACAAACTCATCACAGCCCCTCTGATTTGCAGCATGTTATTTACACTTGGTAGTGTATCCTGTCTGTAAGCACGCAGGTACCAAATCGTATTCTTGCTTATACTTTTAACTAAACACCTGCAGAGAGTTACTACTGGAAGCAGTGTATGGAGAAATTAACTCCCAGCTCAGTAGCTGGATACAGATTTATTTTTTCCAAGCATCGCACACACGACCATTACCACAGATGGCTGCCCAAAGAGAGCAAGAGTAGGACACAGAAGGTTCACATCGTTTAAGTACTCACCTCTCTAGCTTCTTCTCAATAATGGGCACATCTAATCCCATCGCTTGCTTTGTGATTCTCAGCATTTCTGCAATGCACTGAAGAGTGTCTGAAATCCAAGCAGCAGCCTGTCAGACCCTTAAAAACCCTGCAAATCCCAAATTTCAGTCTACAAAGAATCAAGTCTAATTTTAACATAATTTTGTTTGATTTTGTTGGTGTGGTTTTTTCTTTCACCCTACAGAATACTTGCCCCCTACAAGTTGCAATTGTGATTTAAAGCTTACAAAATATGCTTAAAGAACAGACTCTTTAAGCCCTAAATACTTGGTATAACTGAAACACTGCCACAATTTATTTTTTGTGTAAGAGAAGAGAAGCAATGTTTTTCCCTTATTAGTGTTCATTTAGTTTAGTTAAACAAGCAAGCAAGAACATTTCTAGATGTTGATTTCACTGAATAAATCAATTTCTTCTACTCTTCAGGAGCTAGGTTTAAGTTCATTTTACCAGTTCTTGTAGCAGTAAAGATCTGGGCATGGAGATGTTTCAACCCTGAAGATACGTTCTTTTAAAGCTGTACCTGAAACTTATTTTTCTTCATATTAAAATGGTAACATTCTTGTGTTCACACAGGAAGCCACACACAGGGTTGGTGGTTTTTTTTTAATTGGTACAACTTGTTTATATTAAAGTTTATCCTTCTTCAGAAATTATTCTAAGTGCAATGAAAAAGGTGTTTCCCAGAGAAGCACTGGTATATCAAATACACTTTAATGTGTAAAATTTTCCACACGAAACAAACCTTTTCCATCTTCTTCTGGGCTGCGGACCACAGCTCTCAGAGTGTGAAAATACCCGCTCGTGTCTTTGTATTTGTAATGCAGCCTCATGCAAGAGAACTTGGGTTTGCCAAAGAGAGTAGGCTCTGGTCCTGAGAAATAAACCAGGAGATTAAAAATCTTTTTCAATCAAGCACTGAGAAAGATATTGCAAAGACTACACCTAAACACACATAAGTGTTGACAGTCTCTTTCAGCATAAATAGCCTCAAGTTTTCTTTAGAGTAGGACAGACATTTTAAATGAAAGATTTTCACACTTACTAATCAATCAATTACTTACAAAAAGTAATTAAGACTCTGTATACATCTAAAAAACCAAAAAAGCATGTCTAAAAGCAATTAGGCTCTCTGCATACATCTATTATAATCCAGCCTGACTGTTTATTAGATATCAGCCTTTCAAACAGAAGAAAAGAAAATAATCCTACACCTACTGCATCCTGTGTTTTAGCATGTGCTCCTGCAAGGATTAAAAGAAAAGCTATTTTTACTAAGTGGAAGCAAAGTAAGTTTTAAAATTTAGACCAAATACTTCAACTCTTCATTTCTATGTCAATGAACAGGTTTGGGTTATTTTGGTTTTATAAAGTCCAGATGTTTCAACTACATTCTGTACATCAGAAGGTATTAAATATCTCCACAATACACAAGTGAGACAGACCTTTCCATTGAACTCTCAGAAATTGCACAGACACAGTTAAAGCTCCAGGAAGGAGATGATGAAATCACTGTGCGTTGTGGAAGGGAGGATTAAACTCTCTTGGGGAGGGATGGGAGGACGCAGTGGGGGCCACAAAAATGTCACTCCCTTCCCTGCAACTGGAATGTTTTTCATCTGATACCACATCTTTAATGCCTTTATTGTGGACAGGAGGATTAAACTCCATTGGGGAGAGATGGGAGGACGCAGTGGGGGCCACAAAAATTTCACTCCCTTCCCTGCAACTGGAACCTTTTTCATCTGATACCACATCTTTAATGCCTTCAGCACAAAGTGCCAGACTTAGCCTGCAGATGTTACACTCTTCAGTCAACAAGTAAGTTAAACTAGCATAACAAGGCTATTTCATAATGCCACATTTCTTACCAAAGCATGAGAAAGAAGAGTTTTAAAAAGCTGTGAAACAGACCTGAAGCAGAGTTCAGAACAACCTGCTGTATTTGGATCAAAGTAAGAGTGCACTGAACGCACAAACCTGTGATTTTATTACACAACTTAATCCAATTGTTATTGCCATTTAATAAATACAGAAATTTGTTCTGATGAATCCATGGGGGGTGGGGGGGTTTAAGAGTCTGAAAGAGGGGAAAATTTTAGAACCTTACAGTGATCAAAGGTTCCACTTCAAGCAGCAGCAAAAAGACAAGACTGAGAGAGAACACAGAACTCTGGCACCTGCTAT